CTGTAAGTTGAGTTGTCTCTATACGTAGTAAAAAATTGTCAGATGGTGTATTTAAGAAAAGAACAAGTAATTTTTAAGCAAAACAAAAAAGGGATTTCAATTCTCATATAAAAATTGAAGATTATCGTTAGTTTTTTCATGATCCAATGACCCGCTCTAAACCAAATTAGTATGCGACCACCTCTGAGGTAACGCCTTTCCTTTAAAAAAAGAATTATAGAACTCGGCCACCGTAGTCTAAAGTTATGCGGTAACATACATACATTAAAAAAAATCCTACGAATGGTTAACCTTCTCATTTTTTGAAGTCGGTTAAAAAATAAAAAAGTGGTGAGAATTTTTATATTAGAAATCATTTTTAAGCAAAAACAAAACCGGCTTCAATTCTCATATACAAATTTAAAAGTACCGTTAATTTGTTTATGATCCAAAGATTGGATCTAACCAAATTAGTATGGGACCACCTTTGAAAAAAGAATTATAGAAATCGGTTAACACCGTCCAAAATTATGCGGTAACATACATACAAAAAAAAAATATTCCGACGAATTGATAATCTCCTTCTTTTTTTGAAGTCGGTTAAAAATTGGTCGATTTGAATATTAACCCTCAAAAAAGTGGTTCAATTTCGGTTTGGATTAGAGATTTTTGCACAATTTAATAATTCAATTAGTTGTAGATAAACGAGGCTAGTCCGATTCAAAACCGCCTCATATCCTCGGTCAAAATTAGTACATGGCCGAAGGAAAAGTTCCGTTCTTCTCTACTCAATATAAAATAATAATTATACGAAAACACATTTTAATATTTTTATTGCATTTTTATTTAGATCATTAATTTAGTATTAAAGTCCCAAGTCTTGTTTATTGTGATTAGTTTTTTTTTTGTATTTTTGTTAAATTATTATCTATGTATTATTTTTCAGCAGCAACTGCTGCTGCAATTAACTTTAAATCTTAACGATTTACGAAAAAATTGAATTTCCACAACTTTTTTACCCACATATTTACGAATAAACGCGCTGAAAGCTGTTAATTAATTGTTTATATTTTTTTTTCTTATATGCTCTTATTGCTAAACATTTTTTCAAGTCATTGATTACTAATTTTGTTAAATAATTGTTTATATGTACATACGGGTATAATGAATGGTATGCGGAAGATATCAGAGAATAAGTATAATACGTAGAGTTTGTGTAGCTACGATACGTCATTTAAACAATAAATCGAACAGTCAATCAAACACACACTAACGGTAGTGTGAACTCATGTGTGGAAATAGGTATATATGTATGTACTCGTAAGAATATTAGTGTTTTCTATAAAACGCTATATATGCACAAAATAAGAATCGAAATGTTGTTATACATACATACATATGTACATACATAGTTTTAGATTTAATTATTGTTTATAATATTTACATGTAGACGTATGTAATACAGGTGCCTATAGGCACACACAGACATATGTAAATATGTATACTGGAAAGGAACATTTATCGAAGTTGAGATGAGTCTTAATAAAATGCAATAATTAGCTTCAAATTATTGTTGTTATCAACATAACGTTTTATTATTCGTATTTTTATTTTTATTTTCCTCCCATACAAGCTGTACAATTTATTTTTCGTTTTATATTTCATACGTGCTAAATGTATGTATGTATGTATGTACTCGTATATGCGAAAATATTTAGTTAGTGCTTGTAGATTTTTTAATGCTATAATTATTTATTGTGTTCGACTGTAAAATTATTGCTTAAATCAAAAGCTGCCTTGTATACAAACATAGTAGCATAATTTTTCGAAAGACGTCTATACACAAATAGATAGTTTTTATATGTATGTATATTAAATTTATAATTACGTTAATTTATTGGTTGGTAATATTTGGGTTCGGTTCATTCATACGAGTTATATCTATGCTAATGTTACATATTTATGTATGTATTTATATAGAAAGAACTGACTTTGTTTTAGATATTTTTTCGGTTGTTTTTTTTTTTTTTTTGTTACGCACAAGTACAAATAAGTAATTGTATGCATTAAACAATAATATATCAAGAAAATATTAATAACATAAAGTCTACATACATACATACAAAACAAAAAATTACGTTAAAACGCATAAACAAAACAAATAATCTTTAATCAGCCACCCACGAAAAAAATACAAAACGTTTGCGCAAACGGCAGTACATTACTTTTTGCTACGCTACACTCTAGTGTGGCTTCATACGTCAAAATATGCTTACATCGTTTTTTTTGGCAAATAATTACAAAATTATAGTTATTCTATTAAAGTGCAAAAGGTCTCGAAAATCTCGCAACTTTTTATGAAGTTGTTAATATGTTCTGGTATGAATAAATTTTACAACCAACATCCCACCTTTCCTAAATGCCTTTCTTTGAAATAAAATATGTATTAACAAATCCTTTACGACGAATTCGGTCAAAATACCAAGTCGGCAAAATTAGAAAATAAGGGGTTTTCCAAGAGCCCTTATTTCGGATTTTTTGAAGCGATAGACCTTCCGCGTTCGATTCTTTATCCCTTTTAATTTTGTATGGAATGGCCAGAGTTTCCGCTTCCCTTAGAAGGGAAAAATTGATATGAAATAATATACTGAAACAGTTTGACTTTAACTTTGCAGTACAGAAATGGGCGCCTACTGCGATTTTTTCTTTTATTTGACTTTGGTAGCATTTTAAACAAAGCTTCACGTATGCCTTTCTGTTAAGAGATACTTATTTGACTTTCGTTGCCATGGAAACCTACCTTCGAATGGCAGCGCTTTCGGAAGATCTTATAACAAAGCTGCCAAAGAGAAAAATTCCTTCCTGAAGGCGTTCGTTTAGAAATGCTTCTTATTTTGCCGACTGGGTACATAGTATATCTTGCCAAAGTATAGGCATTAAAAAATAAAACTTATAAATTCATCGCGTGATCANCCTTATTTTGCAGTCTGGGTACATAATATATCTTACCAAAGTATAGGCATTAAAAAATAAAACTTATAAATTCATCGCGTGATCACCTAAGAGCCATTTTCTCGGCTGACTGGTGAATGAGGGCAAGTTAGATACGACGAAGTAGATCAGAGGCTTTTACGAAGCTGTAAATTTTTAGAGATGTTATCATATGTACAATTCATTTGAATTAGAATTCAAGTAGCTTTTAGAGTTTATCTACCTTTCAAGCACATAAATTTTAAAAGTATCTTGAAAATCAAAAATATAAAAGAATAGGTTCAGTTAGAAAGGCGTGTATGAAGCTAATCTGTCAAACCTGTTACTGTCCCGGATGCAAATGAGTAGCTCCGATAGTTTCACTTCTATTATAGCTGCTAAGAGTGTTTGAGTCGCCTTGTCTGGTGAAATGGTACATCGATTCCTTCTCTTCTTCATCCTGATAACTTCACTTCTGCAGAGTACCGGCAGCTAAACTTTATCGTTGAGGCATTGGTGCAATAGCACAGTGCCTTTGGTAACAGCAGAAATAATTTGTACTGCGAATGGGTTGAACGTCAAAAGTTCCGCAGTCTAGTCTAGTTAACCTCGAACATAAACGCATTGAGACTTTACAGCCGTTCCGGTTGCTTCATATTTAATTTGTTAGGGTGGTGGTCTGCTCATCAAGTTTCCTCGATAGACAACAAATCGGTGTTTATAGCGGGGTTATGCGTCTCGTCGATGTACATTTCCGAACTGTGTCTAGCCAATCGATGCAATTGATTTGGCAACGAATTGGGAATTATTAATCTGTGGCAACCACAAAAAAATACATTCTATAATAGCAAGAAAGTGATAGTTTTGTTAAATTTTAGGCGCTTGAATGCAAATACGAGTAAACTAAAGCTTTATTTCTTTTGCATTGGCGATGATATGAACATCCACCATTAATGAAAAACGTCCTGAATGTAAAATTTGAAATTTTATAGAAAAAGCAAACAATTTTTTAAAATAACACCGTAAATACTTTCATTGCTCTAATTAGGATGTGCATTTAAGAACAAATTAAAAAAATAAAAACATTTATAACCGTTATCAGCAGCCGGATTCCAACAATTGCTATTGCCAATTTTGACTGCCAAATATCTCCAAAAGTATAGCAGGCGTGCCTAACAACACGCAGCATCTAGTTACATGCCGCTAATACAGCCAGAATTGGCTGATTACACATTGCAGCTATTACTTTTCCATGCAGTATATTTTAAGACCTTACTGCTTTCCAGTTAGATAATTTTAGTCATGAAAATTTAGCGTAGCGATAGATCAGATACCACTGCTGGTCCAATTACAAAAAAAAAAAAAAATACGCCAAAAATTAAAATTCAAATTCATAAAAATTAAAGAAAACTTTAAATCAGCCAAGTACTTGCTTATGGAGTTCTGCCAGCGCTGTGCATGCCTGCTTGAAATGATCTATAAATCGGAAATTTGTACTAAAATGTCACTTTATAAAACTCTTTAGGGGCCGTTTACTCATGTAGCTTTTACAATTTCTTTGCCCTTTAAACACAAATTTTGTTCTCAAAAATATGTTTGAAGGACAGATAAATTTTAAAAGCTACTTGAGAAAATGTGCCAAAATCAATTTTATTTTTAAGACCATATGTTTTCGAAAGCTAAAATAAAAACAAAAAATTACATTTTTGTTTTTGAAATTATAAGTTGCCAAAAAAAGGCTTAGTTTACAATTTAAAAATTTTTTAAATTAAAAAAGTTTATTTTATTTAACTGCTCTATAGACCATTCTTAAGCTGCCTTTACACGGGTCGATTTCCGTTGACTATAAAATCGACTAGCCAAAGCATTGGTCGACCCATCGACAGAAGTCGCATGGTGCAAATACATTTGTTTATCAAATTAATTTAATTAAATTGCTTCAATTTATGTTTGATTAATTTATTAAAGAAACCAAGAGAAAATTTCCAAATGCCAAATCGACACACATTTCAGGGTTGCTTTGGTTTGGCGTCGACTGCAAGAACTTGAACGCAAGTCTACTTAGGCTCAGACGGTTTTTGTCGACCTGTGTAAAGGTAGCTTTAACAAGTTCTAATGCAGGATTTCTACTGGCCAATGTTTTGACAAATTTACGAAGTTATGCATTCCAAAAAGTAATTTTAAACGTCTTATGATATTCCTGAAATGCCAAACATTTCTTCGTGATTTCTGTCATTGCAGCGCTTAATTTTTAGTAAAGTTTGCGAGACTGAAAAACTCGGCACTGGTTTTGGGGTGTAATGCCAATACTTTTGTGAGACATGTTCTTTAACGATTTTTCACCAACAAATTTATTTCTTTATATATTATTTTATATTTTATATTTCTTTATTTTTTAATCAGAAGCGACATTTATTTTTCGAATGCTAATGTTTTGCCACCATTTTCATTGGAAACCCGGAAAAGGCCATTGCTATCGATCAAAATAACGCACAATCTTATTTTATTATAGGAAGCAATTGGCATTGAAAAATAAAGGGTTAAAATATGTTAATTAAAAATGTAAGTTATTCAATTTGTAAATCATTAATTTACTTTATTGACAATTATGTTTATTTACATATTTTTAATTACAATCAAAATTATTTCAAGCGCCTAAAATTTACTAAAACTATCAAAAACTTAAGGTTCTCAACCAAAAAGTAAATATTTGTTATTGATTTTGTGACCGCATTTGTTAGTGGCTTGTCACATCTTAAATTAAATGCATCCAAGGCATCATTCGGAATAAGAAGAGCTCAAACTAGACTCTTATAAAAGTGATATACTTTTCTTGCCATAGAAAATACTTGAAAATATTTGCTAAAATCCAATATTTACAAAGAAAATAATGTAACAAAAAGGTTTTCACCTTCAAAACCCATTTTTTAAGAAAAAGGCAATAGTTTTTAACTTTCCTGGCGCTGTTTCCTAGCTGTGTTAAGATACTCCCTTTAAATTGCAGTAAATTTTGCTCTTCCCCTACAGTTCGCTTACATACATTTTCTACAGCTTCCCTCCCCCTCATACTGTTTCTTTCTTTACACTTCAGTAGAACGCCCACTTTCATCAGAACGCGACGATTTGCGCTCGCGCCCGCTACTCGGCATGCGTCCTGTTATTGAGCCCTGCATAACTGCATGTGCTTGTTGCTGCTGCTGCTGCTGCTGTTGTTGTTGTTGTATGTGCTGCAAATGCTGTTGTTGCTGTTGCGCTGCTAATTGTTGCTGCATNGAGGTTTTCACCTTCAAAAACCATTTTTTAAGAAAAAGGCAAATCGTTTTAAACTTTCCTGGCGCTGTTTCCTAGCTGTGTTAAGATACTCCCTTTAAATTGCAGTAAAATTTGCTCTTCCCCTACAGTTCGCTTACATACATTTTCTACAGCTTCCCTCCCTCTCATACTGTTTCATTCTTTACACTTCAGTAGAACGCCCACTTTCATCGGAACGCGACGATTTTCGCTCGCGCCCGCTACTCGGCATGCGTCCTGTTATTGAGCCCTGCATAACTGCATGTGCTTGTTGCTGCTGCTGTTGTTGTTGTTGCATGTGCTGCAAATGCTGTTGTTGCTGTTGCGCTGCTAATTGTTGCTGCATAAGTATTGCGTGCGGTTGACTGACAAAACCTGCTGCCGCGTGAGCATACGAGCCGACAGCATTGGGATAAACCATAGCAGCGCTTACATTACCCCCCATTGCCACGGCGGCGCCAGCGGGTAGATTGAAACGCATTTTAGCTGCTGCTGCATTGGCGGCTGCTGCAATAACGGCGGCGTTCTCGCGTGAAGCGCTGCTTGTGGTGGTCGATTGAAAGGAAATAGACATGCCGCTATCCAGGGAACCGACGCTGCCACGACGCTGTGGCTTCTCGTTGCCAACTGAGGAGGGGAAATTAATTTGATTAGTTCATTAAGTGATTTAAAGAGGAAAGGTGAAAACTTACATTGCTCATGCATATCGAGTAGACTGTTGCTGAGCGCGCTACGTTTCAGCTGCTGCGCGGCATCGTTTGCATTCGGTGCTAGCTCGCCAGCTGGTGTGGACTGATATGCTCCCACTTCTACGTCAGCTACGCCACTATCACGGTTCTCAGAACTCCCGGCTGTACGATTGCGCGCCGATTTCTGCCGCTCTAGCTCGGCTTCGATGCGCAACGCCTCCATCTCGTCCATTTCGCTAATGGACTCCTTTAAATCTTCGGCGAATTTGCAACGATCGTGTTCGTTACGCGCATTAAAAGTGATCAGTATTTTGCCGTCGACTTTTTGTGAGAGTTGTATACAAAATGGATAGTTGGGCACATCGAGCAGCGTAACTACCATGCCGCATAGTGGGAAACTGTTGCGGAAAGTATAGGTCACGGAGGACTTTTTCTTGCTGAATATTTTGGTAATCACCAGCAGATCGTTGAAGAGGAAAACTTCACGTTGATGTACGCCAGGGCGTTCCTTCTTATTTACGTCGGGTATTTCATAGAGGCGGCAATAGCAGACCAAGCGTCGATGTGGCAACGCCAAGTTGGGTTTCTTACCCACAATAGTGGCCTGCACTTTCATTACTTGTGTGACATGGTCACTGCCTGGCTTAAATTCGTTAGCCTTCACGCGCTCGTAAATGCCAGCGAGCATGTCCTTCTCAATATCATGGCAGTCATCAATGCCGCGTAAATTCTTTATGAAGTCCTCCACGCGCATACGGCGCTCCGGTTTCAAATTGGGTGTATGCAAGTCGGTGTTTAGCATAATGATGGCAAAGGCCAGCACGAAGATCTGTAAAGTGTAAAATGTTAATATTAAATACAAATTTGAATTGTGAATACTCTCCACTTACCGTATCGGAGGACCTCAGTCGGCCGACTATATCCTGGTTACACTGGCAGAAGCGTTGTGAGAACACCTCCATTAGCCGTTCAATTTTCTGCGCCTCGCCTGGCATGCGGAAGTAAGCTTGGAATTTGCGTAACGCTACATCGACCTGCATGCCAGATAGGTCCAACTCCAATGCGAAACAGTTCAACACCGCCATGTTAAATTGATTCTGCAAGTTTCCTAAATACTCTCCAATCATTTGCCGCGACAAGCCCTTGCGCGAGATGAGAAAGCGCGCTACGCCCTGAGGTGTGTTCTCAAGGAAACCTCGCCGTATCAAATATGTGATGCCCTTCTCCGGCTTCTTGTTGAACAAATTCAAACCGACGCGATACTGTCGCTTGCGTATCGTTTCTGAAACCTTGTAGTTCTGCAAAGGCGCCGCCGCATTCAAGTGATGATCCTGCTGTTGATCGTGCTGTTCGTACTGCGCTGCAGTCGTATGCGAAGACACAGCATGATCATCCGCTGTATTGGCTGCGCCAACCACTCCCACAACGCCTGAGGCGCCACCTACACCACCTGTTACAATGCCAGCGGTTGAGTGTGCGAGGCTAAATGTGACCGTCGGGGCTGACGAGTCACCGCTGTGCACGAACTGTTGTGAGCTCGACAGCGCCGTGTTACGCTTCCACGTTTGCGGCGAATTCGAACGATCCGAACCAATATCACTGTTAACTGCAATTCGATCGGCTGATGTAACGCTCGAATCACTACCCGAACTTTGCACAGACGTGAGACTGCCATTCTCGGCGCTCTTACAAAGCCCATTCGAACGCAACAACGAGGGTGGTGGCGGCGGAGTTTGGCGCATCATTAGCATGTGTTGGTGTTGTTGCTGGGCGGCCAAATGCTGCGCATGCTGCTGTGCTGCTATGGAGGAGGTGCGTTTCGGTACCTCGGGTGGGACCTTCTTGCGCTCGGCTGAGGTGCTGCCAGGGGCGCCTTTTGGTCGCATATAAATTTGAGCCGCCGAATAGTAGGGGGTATGGGGCGACGTGCCACTGGCTACGCTGGCAACACTCGCCCACGAGGTATTCAACGAGCTTCCGTCCAAATGTGAATTGTTCGCCGAGCTGCCGTAACTGGCGTCGTGTGGTGGCACATGATAGTAATGGGTGGCCAGATGTTGGCTGCCATAGAAATGTGGCTCTGTGGCGTGTAGTAGATTTACATGTGGATGCGTAGATCCGGATGAACCTAGCGTGCCGGAAGATGTCGAAGAGGCAGAAGAGCCACCGCCGCCGCCGCCAATGGGAACCGAGGAGGCACCTAAAAGAGGTGAGAAAAGAGAGAAGTCAGAAGGTTTGTTTGGAAAGAAATGTATTAACAAAAAAAGAGGAGACTAATTAAATCGAGGCCAATAAGATAAAATGAAATAAAACAATAAAACCAAATTAAATGACAGGGGAAACTCTGGCTAGAGATTCAAAATGAAAAAAAAATTAGCTGCTTTTTGTTCATTTGTAATTCAAATTACTGAAAATCGGACTTTAGACTAAAAATGTAAGAAACTACAGTGAAATCTCGATATAACGAAGTTCAAATGGCGCAACAAATGCTTCGTTACATATACCCGTATAGTTTAGTTACATGTATTTATAGAATATCAAAACTTCAATACAAGGAAAAATACAAAATTTTTGAAAAAATTCGTCATAAATAAAGTTAAGCATTTTTTTAACGGGACTCTAACCGTGAACATAATCAGATTTTGTTATGTAGAGGCTTTTGAGGTAACACTTCGTTATAAACAGGCTTTTGCTAACGGGATCTTAACTGTCAATATATTCCGAAGGCTTTCATGCTCAAAATTTCTTCCTTATATCTATGGAGCACTTTTGTATGGAAAATATCTCAACAACGAGGTTTTCTCAAGGGACTCGCAAAAAATTGGTTATGTTGAGTTCTTCGTTATATCGAGATTTCACTGTAACCTGAATAATGAATAATAAAAAAAGAAATTAAGATCAATAAAAAAAAATATATATAAATAAAGAAATAAAAGATTCCAATCAACAAAAGTAGATCCCTTTTCTATTGAATTACAACTTCGCGCAAATCGATTTACGAAGCCGAAGTTCCGACAAAACGGTTATTAAAAAAAAAGAAAACAAAAATTTTATTGCAAACCTCAAAGTTTTCAATTTTTCTCCAAAGTTTCACAACTTTTACTTCGAGAGCGAACAACTCACCTGATTGACTGCGCGGTATAGGGCTGCCATCCTGCTGGCGGCGCTCGCGCATCGATAGCGAACGCGTGGGTGGTGTGCGCGCTGACATGGCATTTGACGAAACAATAGGCACAGCTGGAACGCCTACGCTGCCCGGTGGCCCAGCCAAGATGGTAACACGCGGCTGTTGTTGGTTGACGGCATACGGTGAAGTAGAGCCCTGTATTTGTGTCTGCTGCTGCTGCTGTTGTTGCTGCTGTTGCTGTATCATATCCAGCTGAGATTCAGTTGCACTTCCATATGCCGAGGACAATGATGAATTGGAGGCAGGACCATCTTCGGTCCCACCACCACCACCGCCAGACACTATTAATACACGACGACTTAGACGCTTCTCAGCTTTGGCCATTGCGGTAATTGAGGCGAATTTTTTCACCATCATATAGTGGCGAAAGGCGCGTTGTATCGTTACGGCAGCATTACGTGCTCGCACGCCACCGTACTTACGCTCCAATAGTTCAATTTGTTTCTCCAACAAATCTTGTGAGAGCTCGTATCTGTAAGGCCAAAGTAGAAGAAAAGAGAATAGAGGAAATATTATTTAGTTACAATAGTACGATGTATGTCAGTGCGACATGGAAACATAGAAATGCCTGAAGTGGCATTGCATAATATGCAATTGTGTAAATATTTTTTGTTTCTAATTCTTTTCAAATATGCAAATACACCTACTTACAAGCATATGCATACATGTAGCGCATGTATTGATAAATATGTAAATTTGAAAAAGCGCTCAGAAAATTAAAAATCGTTTGCAAATAACTACAAATATTGGCCAATACCACGTAGCACTTTATTTCAATGGCTGATATGTACGTATGAAGCTTGTTGGCCAATTGTTAGATGCCGCCTTTGTTGACCAACACAGCACTGCAGTATGTATCGAACGAACACTTTTTTTTTTGCTGAAACTGACAAGCCAACAATAGGGCTCTAGAAACTTTTGGTACTGAGTACAAGTTAAAAATGAAAATTTGCAATTTAACTTTTGTACGCGTCACAAAACGTATGCTGACGTACACCGACAGAGCGATAATGGCAGCACAAACAAAATGGGAACAAAAAATGTGCAAATGCCTTGCAGGAAAAAAATAAAGTAATGAAGCCTATTGCTGGTTGAGGGACTTGCACAAAAAATATTTAATCGAATCCTTAACAAATAACGCTAAGCACGACATCTGTATTCAGAGTGAACTGCAATGTAAAGCTACGTTGGCAAAATGAAGCTTTTATCAAATGACCGGCTAGTGTGTTTGACCGAGCTGCTCCTTAAAAATTTGGCGGCGTGCTTTTTCAGAAAGTCTTTTTTAGATGTTGCTCGAACCCTCGAATCGAACAGTATTATAGTTTTGGGAGATAGAGCACTTCGTGCTTAAGACCTATTGTAGACCCGAAACGGATTAATAACCAGTACCGGATAGAAATTTTTCCGATGTGATTTCCCTGAGCTTCTTTTTTTGTTTGGCCAAGCTAGAGAGTGTCCTTTTCCTATGCCGCAGAAAGGCTCTAAGCCAATAAATGCGTCACAGAACTCAGATAAATCAAATTCGATTAGTCAGACTAGTAGGGCGATTCAGGCAACTGCCTTTTAACTCACCACAGCCTTTCTAATTAAAAGATCTGCAGACGAGGGTATTTGGTTTGCCTTTTAGCAATAAGTTTTCTAAAATGTCAATTAAATAAAAAACCCTTTTTTTAAAACGATAAAAAATAAAAATTTAAAAAATAAATAAAATAAGTTTCTAAAAATTAAATTAATTCTTTTGAAAACAATAAAATCTAAAAATGAAAAGAATATTAAATTAAAAAAGAAAAAATTTAAATCAATAGAAAATACATAAAATGCGTTTCTAAAATTTAAATGAAATGAAAAAAATATATTTTTTTCTTTTTTAAATAAAATTTAAAAGTAAAAAAAAATACGCTCTCTGAGTACCTCGGCTCACTCGAACTGCACGCCTGTGCTTTGCTCACATTGCGACTGTTGGAGAAGCGTCAGAAAAATGACATATGTACATCGCCATTTGGAACATGCTCAAGTGCTTTCTGTTAAAAGAGCTTTTCACCATGAAAGTTGGTCGAATTTTCGTGGAGAATGGACAACATTTCTTAAACTGTCTTGCCTACTGTCTTTCATTTGTCCTGCAAAAGACTAGCAACTATCTTAGCCAAAATTGTCCTGTTAGGGTGTTCAGCTTTTTACGGAATTTCGTTACTAGTTTTAATGTTACCTGCTGAGTTTAGCGCTCAACGAAATGCTTAACGATAGGAAGGGAAGTCGGTACATATGTACATATATAGACGCTAAGAATTTAAGTAGGTTAAATAGTTTTCCTACAGGCCTCTCAGGTAAGTGTCTTTTCGCACATTTGTGTGAAGTTTTGTTACTTGTTTACACTTTGCTTGTGCGCGTTGCGATAAGATAAACACTTTTGTTCAAAAAAAGCATATCTTATCAAAGTGTATCGTAGCAATGTCATTCTTACAGCAATACTCGTATACGGTTGCTTGTAAGGAATTTTAATATTATACATAAATATTTACGAAAATACTCGTAAGTACATATATATGGATCAACCAATATTAATTAAGCAAAAGAGAAAAAAAGGAAAACAACCAAAATAAAAGTTATATCTAAAAATGGCTAGCACAAATTAAAACAACTATCACTAACTAAATGCNTATCGCACCACAACAGACCAATTGACGCAACATGGTTAAATTGTTTGCTCTTCAAATATTCGTCGAAGATTAATTCTTATATATAAGCCATAGTGAGACATGAAGATATTAGCAAACAGGCGTGCAATACAGGGTTAGCCAATCTACATTTCTTTTTAACCGACTTCCAAAAAAGGAGGAGGTTATCAGTTCATCGGAATATTTTTATATTTTTATTTTTTTATATTTTTTTATGTATGTTACCGCATAACTTTGGACCACGTCAACCGATTTCGATAATTCTCTTTGTATCGGAAAGGTAGTGTCTCAGAGGTGGTCTAGTTAAAGATCCGATCAGTGGATCATGAGACAAATATATATATATATAT